GCGCGGCTGCGTCTACAAGCGAACGGCCGTTCAGCGCTTGCCCGGCCCGCACCACACTCTCGCCAGCGACGCTCAAGCTCACCGTCCACACTCCAACGGCTGCCACGCGCGCCCTCCCAGCACGACTCGCCCTCGGTCCACGAGGCGTTTCTCTCCTCCGGTAAACCGCTTCACGTCCGTTGAGTACCGCAGCCGAAGTCCGCGCCGTTTCCCGCCGCATGGAAGGGAAGGCGACCGACCGCGTCGGCCGCGCGGTGTCGCCGGCCGCGTGACCGCGCACGGGCGCCTCAATGCTCCGCCATGTTTTGGCGAGTGCGAGAAGGAGCGGACGGGGGCGGGGCGCACGGGGGCACCGGATCCGCGCCGGCCACAATTCGCCCGATTCAAGACAAAAAATTCGCCCCGCGAGTCCGGCGCCCTGGTAAAAATAGAAGACAAGCGGGCCACGGCGGCATCGCGAGGTGGTTTTGTGTCTTCGCCGCTGCGAGGTTCACGGCTCGCGCGGCCCGCGGCCCCTTTGCCCGGGCCAGGGATGCGCGGGGGAAAACCGCGGGCCCTCCCCCCCCCCCGGGGGGGCCCCCGGCCCCCCCCCGGGGCCCCGGCCGTGTTTCAAGGCTCCCGGCCTCCGGAAAGCGGCCGCTGAGCCCCGTTTATTTGTTTTAAATTTCTATCAGAATTATTGTTTGTGTTTAATGTTGAATATGTGAAAGGGGTTACGCATTTGGCACTCTGATGCTGTCACAACAATGTTGCAATTTTGTCCTTGTGCTGTGGGTGTACTTGGCGTTCTTAGGACGTTTTAACAGCGGACTCTGCATTCTTCTTCTGTAGTTAGAAGTCTATTGCCAGTGGCTGCTGATCTGGAGCTATCTCGTGGAAATGACCCAAGTTTATCGGAGGGTCAACAAGCACTGGGGTTTGTGTACATTGACCTGGTGCAATGTAATGAATTTCTGCGGAAAGGTTTCTGAAAAAAGAACGAGAGCATTTTCAAAGCCTTTTTATTCGAAACTTAGTTCGAAAAAAATAAAAACAATGACCGAACTACTTAGGGTATTCTGCGTAACGATGTTCAGGGGATATTTTGCACCAATCAATCGTGCCTCTGAAAAGCAACATTTTCATAAGAAAACTTAGACAACTTTTTTCCTTGAAGAGAAATAGCACTTCGCCTCTAAATTTAGCCACGTCAACAAAAGTCTTTGGGAAGTGGCCATTTGTGCAAAAGTGTCGGTAGATGTTAATAAGTATGAGTAATTACCTATTTCGTAAATATTAATTGTTTGAATATTCAGTTCTCGACTATTCTAAAAACATTCCGAACGGTAGGCTTTCAATGATAGATGAATTTTAACAAATGTGGGGTGCAAAAAAGCTTAAAAATCTAGAAGCTACACTGAGAGTCCCAATGAACTTCAAGATTTGGCAAATGAACTTTATGATCTGTATTTTGAAAACGTTATCATGTTTCTCTTCGCGGCAGTAGGAACGAATAAATGCAAAACAAAGCAACAGAAGCCAATAGTTGAAAGTAAAGTCTTACTTCTTTCCCCAGGAGAAATCTTAATTTTCTCTCTTATGTCTCTCAAATTCAGTATTGATTTCGATTTACAAATACAGTATAGAATTGCCTGTCACATAATGAAAATTTCGAAAGATTAATTAACAGAAAATGTCAAGTGAAAATGCTGGATACATTTTTAATTTATATAAAACAATTTATTACAACAATCCCAATGGGCAATGTTGGAGATATTTGAGAAAAACGTCAATGAGTGAAAGATTTTTCATGAAACACTCGAATAATTGAGTTATTGTAATTGTGAGTGGGTTGTGAACCCAGAGTGTCGGAAGAAGTGTAAAAGAAATATCTCCTCTAAAGTCCTACTTTATGAATTGTTTCAGAAAATAAATTAATGAAAGCACTGGAGTTTAAAATTTAACATTAACGCAAATTTACATCATGCAACATCCATATTCAAAATTTAACCAATCCATGTTAATAATACATAGAGTAGAAACCGTCAATGTTTTTAAACTTTCATGTTTAACAAGTTCCTTCCATGTGTCGATTGTTAAACAAGAACGTCAGGCACATCGAAATTAATTTTAATCAGGCAAACATTTTTTAGGCTTATAATGAGGCAAATTGCGCTGTACGAATACGATAATAGTTCAATAAATGCAATAGTTTCGACAAAATAGTTCGTCTTAAATATGGCCATTTATATTGGTCCAGAACTTTTAGAATAATTGCAAGACAGGAAAAAATTGTAGAGGGGTATAAAATTATTATTTTATTCCTTAAAACATCAGAACAGTGACATTTTTGTTCAAATTTTAATTTGGAGGAAATATTGTTAATTTTTACTGTGGAGCAGTGACATCAGAGAGCTGGCCAATTCCTTTCAGGGTAGATTTAATATATCCTTTAAGTAACGTTCAATTACTAATCTTTTCACGAAAAAGTGAACAAAAGCACAGGAATCCGGAGGAAAGTCTGGGATTTTTGTTCCAGAAAATGAGTGTCCACCCTCGAGGTTTGAAACATACGTAGATGTTTTAAAAACACGGACATCGATGACGCATTTGTTGAGTACAGATGCGACGACCCAAACCAAACATTGATGTTTCTAAGTATCGATGTTCAAAATTAAAACATCAATGTTAAAAAAAACATCTCTCTACAATCATCGATGTTTTTAAGACTGGATTGGTAACTAATGAGCTCCCATGCGCCGGGGATTTAATTTGGAAGTGGTCCGATTTGTTAATTTTTAATTGAGATATAACGTACAAAACAGTCAAAAAATCATCAGGACAATTAACAAAACTTAAATTATCTGATTCGATAATTCAAAAATATTATAGGCTTCATTATTGATAAAACTGTATTTTATTTATCTGAAAATTATAATAAGATTTTACTGTGATGTCCTTTTTCCTTCTAAAAAAATCGATGTTAAATAAAAATCGGCTTGAAAAAATGGATGTAAAAATACATCGATGATTTTATAAAAATATAGATGTTTGGAAAACATCGTCATCGATGCCGCGTTCGCATACTTAGGTTTTAGTATAGTGACCAATGAGATTAGGCCATTACTACACCTCCTCCCGTATAAAAATGAATATTTTTTTATTAATTCGCGAACGTCCTTCTCAACAGCACTCGTGGCCTCAGA